TTTTTGACGGGAAAACGGCTAACTTGGGAACCAGCAAAGCTGGGAGGCTGAAATTTTAAGGTGGTACTCCCAGCTCATATGCGACTTAAAGTTGTCAAATTCAGCCCCCAGGCGTGCGTGGTTCTCGTGTACGGGCACTTAAATTTTTGGCGGGAAATTGCTCATTGAACGGCTGGGTCATTTTCAAAAAATGACTGCTAAACGGAAATTGTTTATTTTCTTTTATGCAAAATTTACGATGAGTTACAGTATTGAAGGCGCAAGGTAGGTGTAAAGAAACAACTACTCATGCAGTTAACCTAATTACTTCAAGTCTGGTGCAAAAACGCATGATCGCACCGGCTCGCTGATGCGCTCCAGCTTTTGTTTGACGAACAACCGCTCGAGAAACATTTTCACTTCTTAGTGGACTGGAAATTTGCATTTTTTCAAAAAGCGAGCATTTACCGAAAAGCGACCAGGCTTCATGCAAAAAACTGGTAATCATGTACCTGGATGTCCATGCTGCCCTATAATGCAACACCTTCATCCCTACTGACTCCCTTCCTCCTGCATCTCGGAAGAGGTCAAAAAACAGCCAATATGAGCCTAAATGTTAGGTTACGGCGCAGGGGTCATTCCTGCTATTAGCGACCTGTGAGTTTAGTGCAAAAACGCGTGACCGCACCGGCAGCCTGGTGCGTTCCAGCCTGGGTTTACTAACTGGATGAATTTCACGTAGATACTCTCATAACATATTCTCATTAATCCAGGAATATGGTGATTGACAACGAAAGCCAGTGTGTCATAATAAGTGGAGAAAGTGGCGCCGGAAAGACGGTTGAAGCGAAATACATCATGGGATATATTTCTCGAATATCCGGCGGCGGACAGCGAGTTCAGGTGAGAAGCCTGTAAGCAAGCAAAGGCGGTAAACGACTGAAAAGAGAAAAATTTTAAATTTTTGCTGAACTTAATTACACTTCACAAAAAGCCACTATTTCTTCAGCCTTTAGTCAAAGTGTGTGCATTTTTCGCCTTTAACAAATTTTTGTCTTATAATTTTGTTTTTTCAAGAATGTCGTGAAATAGTCGATCATGTGAGCCTGCACCCCATTTTTTTTTTATCTTTCTTTCCCTACTTTTGCTTATTTAATCTGAAAAAATGCAAATAAAATTCGGAAAATTGCTCTACATATGCTAGCTTCTTAGCTATTTAACTTTTCCTACCATGCTTCTTAAAAGAAAGAAACTCACCAAATTAGCTTCGTTTTTTGGTTATTCATTGATCTTTAATGCTAATACTTTTCCTCTCGCCCCCCCCCCCTCCCCCCATTCTTCCTCTCACCTGTCGCCCCTTATTTTTGCTTTCAATTGCTCTTAGTTCAGTTATTTGGACAACCAAAAAACTAATAAGTTGTCGTGTGTTTTTGCGCACATGGCAGTAGCGCCGCTTGTAAAGCACATGACGCAAAAAAGCACGTTCTGTGCGACCATCGCTTGCTGCCCCCCATCACAG